TGCCTATAAATAGATATGAAAGCATCAGATGTGGGAGGTAGAAAATAAAAGAGAAAGAGTGAAAACGTGAGAGAAAGGAAGAAGAAAGGAGAAAGAGTAATAACGAAAGGAAGATAAATTTTTGCTCAGTTTTTTTTACACTAAGGTAAGGGGGAGGAGACCTTTATCCTTTTAAATTCTAAATACTATTATTTTTATTTATTTTATGTTATATCTATGTGTATTTACTTAGTGAGGTGTCCCTAACTTCATTTACTTGCTTAACCTATGATACTTTTTGCTCTAAATAATTAATGAGATGTTGCTAGTTTATGTTATTTAATTATTTTATGATGTTTATTATTGTCATTCACTAAATTAATATTCTTTAATATATTCCATTTTGGTAAACTATATTATATTAAATTTTAAATAATTAAAAATACTCAAACTTATTTAGTTTCATTATTTTATATTAATATTAATTGTAATATAGTTTTGTTAAAATATCCTAAGCTCATCTTGTTGTTATTTCTTCATGCATTATAAAGATAAATATTATTCTATGACCATAGGAAATAAAGTTTGAATTAATTTATAGTTGGAGGTTTGACCTTAGGGATTAAAATGAGTAAGGGCTTAAGGTGAAATATCATTTTGTTAGTTGATATTATGATAATGTCCATTTATCATGACTAGTCACTACTAAAATAATTCAAATTTTGTTATAACATGAAAATCTAATATATATATATATATATATATACTCCTTCCCCTCTCCCCCATCTCCCTCCCTCCCATATCTTTATGTCTCTCACTTAATTAATTTATTTATTTGAATGAAATGAAATATATATTTTTATCCCTTTTAATTATTATATGCAGCATTTTTCTTTGTTTTTTTTGTTGAATTTTGTATTTAAATAATTTTAACTATAAGTTTTCAACTTTTTAAAAATAGATTTAATAATAGTTTTTTAATATAAATATATTTATTTAAAAATTATATATTTAATATACATATTTTAACATTACATTAATTAAATGTAATAAATAATACTTTATCATAAAATATTAATTTATTTATATATTATCTAAATATTTTATTAGTAACATTAATTAAATAATATTCCATAATTAATTTCACCATTTTACTAACTACAATGTATCCGCGATCGCTTTCATGATTTATAATCACGTTGCATAGTTAAGGTTTAAGTAGACCTAATTGCAATTTGGGTTGGTTTAGCATAACCCACATTTTTGCCTTGTATTGGTCATTAGGTAGAAATGAGAATAGACTAGGTTAAGTCAAATTTTAAATATATAGGTTAAATTTGTTATATAAAATTATAATCTAAGTTTAGTTTATTATTTATTATAAATAATTTTTTTATATATATTTAGTATAACCTATTAGTCTATTTAAAAATCTATTTAAATTATTAATATTAATTAGATCAATAAGTTTAATTTTTAAAAATTAATAAAAATATTTTAAAAATATAATTTATTCAATATTATTAAAATTTAAATTTTAAAAGAAATATAGAAAAAAAATTGAATATTTTTTTATTGAAAAGACAATTCATACGTAATCATGTATGTTGATATAGTCGTAAGTTTATAAACTTATAATGAAAAAAAATTATATAAAAAAATGAATTTTAATAATTTTTGTTTTATAAACTTATTAATTTTTTATTATATTATATAAATAAATAGACTAATTTATCACGCTTAACAGACTTTTTTATAAGTCTAAACCTGATCTTTTTATATAATAGATTTTTTAAAAAATTTAAGTCTGACCTTTTTATTAAACAGGTTAAGTCAGACCAAACTTTAATGTGACTAAATTATAGGCCTCTAATTAAGGTTTGTCTTATTCTCATCCTTATTGATAGGTTAAAAAGTAAGAGTAAACTACATTATTCTCTTTGAAATATAAGAATATTGTATTTTCGGCACCTCTTATATTAAAATATATAACTTGATAAGTATTTTTTTTATTTCCTAGGAATGTAGTTTCTTAAGAACCATTTTTATCATACTTTTTTACAAAAATATTTTTACAGGAATCCAATTTTTTTAAATTAGGAAAAAAGTTTAATGTATATAAAAATATAATAGTATCTTTTTTTTAAAACATAAATCTCTCTTTCTCTATCTCCTTCTAATTCTCTTTCATTCTCTCTCTCACTCTCACTCTCCCTCTCTCTCTCTCTCCTCTTCTATTTCTCTTTCTTCCTCTCTCACTCTCACCCCCCTCTCTTCCTCTCTCCCTTTCCATCTCTCTCTCTCTCTCTCTCTTTCTTTCTCCATTTCTCCTTTTATTTCTCTTTCTCCCTCCCTCTCTACCTGTCTCTCTCATTCCCCTCTCCCCCATCTCCCTCCTTCCCCTCTCCCCCATCTCCCTCCCTCCCATATCTTTATGTCTCTCACTTAATTAATTTATTTATTTGAATGAAATGAAATATATATTTTTATCCCTTTTAATTATTATATGCAGCATTTTTCTTTGTTTTTTTTGTTGAATTTTGTATTTAAATAATTTTAACTATAAGTTTTCAACTTTTTAAAAATAGATTTAATAATAGTTTTTTAATATAAATATATTTATTTAAAAATTATATATTTAATATACATCATTCTATTGAACTATTTGTATTTATTTAATATTTGTTCTCACTCCTTATTTTTCTTTGTTTAAAAAAACAAATTAATTATAATACAAAATAGATGGATATTTACCTGCAATTCCAAGGCCTTTTCCTTCAGTGATATCAACAATATTTTTTGGAACAAGTTGGAGTGTGGATGCAGTTGCTAACTATTTTGTATTTATTTGATATTTGTTCTCACTCCTTATTTTTCTTTTTTTTTTTAAAACAAATTAATTATAATACAAAATAGATGGGTTTACCCGCATTCCAAGGCCTTTTCCTTCAGTGATATCAATAATATTTTTTGGAATAAGTTGGAGTGTGGATGCAGTTGCTAACTCGGTTACCTTCCATAGTGTGACCTTGTCGAGTTTTACATTTTCTTTGACCCAAGAAATTCCCACGGTTATTAATGGTCTTATAGTAGTTACCTTCTACCTACCTCCAGCCAACCATGTTAACCCTATAGTAAACTTATATTAACATAATATGTAAATATTGTAATAAAAGTGGAATAAATAAATAATGTGTAAAATAGTATGATGTTGTAAATATTTTTAGAATAGTATGTAATGTAGTTATAAGCTAATTGTATATAAACAAGTTCGCAAAATCTTCTTTGTTTTTATGTAAATTATTATTAATGATATACTTGTGTTAATAATGTATAAGAAATATATATTTAATATTATGCTTAATATTATATAAATTGGGCATTACAACAACTCAACCATCACAATTACAGCAACACAACTCAGAAATAAAGGGTTTGGAAGAATCACCAAATCAAGTTCACAAGACACAACCAAGGCAAGGTTCCTTTACCTTCTCGGAGAATTAGCCCGAAAATGGAGAAGAGAAGGAACTCCATACGACTCTGACCGCTTGATCTCCAACCTCGGAATCGTGAATCTTCACTCGACGACTTGAATCAGTTGAGAAAGGAAGAAAAGGAAATAATTCTAAGAAGGAAGAAGAAGAAGAAGAATGAGAGGTTTTGAACTCTTTGACTTCTCTCTAGTGTTTTAAGGAATATGAATTATGAATGTTCTTTTGAAAAATCTTCTTTATGTGCCTTTCCTAAGCTTGACTCCAACAATCTCAGGTTCGGTCCAACATCCAGAGATCAATATGCTTTTAGGGTCTCCCAGTCCCAAAGCTCTTAACAACAACTGTCAAATCAAACAACAAAGCTATGAGATTACAATATTACAATTTTGGTATAATATGTGCAAAATGTAATCATTATTAGTATTAATTTTATATTTTTTTATTGGGTAAATTGATTATTTTTTATAATAGTTTATTTTAATTTTATAAAAATATTTATATTTGATTTTGTTCGAAGAAGTTTTTTAGGAAAAGGTGTTAAGTGTTTTAGAGGGAAGGGAGTTGTTGCAAAACTTCTTTCCTTTATATTATCAATTGATATAGATATAGATATAAATAAATAAATATATCAAAATAATCAATACCTTAATAATTAATATAGATATAATTAATAAATATTTATAATATAAATGATTACAAGTAATTATTAGATATGCATTTGAATATTGTTTTTGAAAAACAATATGCATTTGAATATTATTATTACTTGAAAAAACTGACTTTTGTATTTTAATATTTAGATATCAATGAAATTAAAAATGCGACGTCTTTAATTTACATAATAAAATATATTAAAGAGTAATAATTTAATTTCATAACTAACAAGAAAGGTTTGAATTATAAAAGATAATTTCTTTTTATAAAATAAGTGGATCTAAATTGTGTAGTTTTGAGTGGATAAATTTTGACGAAAATTATTGTAGCTTTAATAATATATAGATATTTTTCCAGACTCTTCTTATTATTTTTAGTAATTTGATGTAATACAATCTTTTAATACTTTAATTAATGTTTAATCCTGTTTGTCAGAAAAATTATCAAAATAATTGACCATTTAGAGTTTAACTGTGTCTCTTGTAATTTTAAGATTCTCAGTTGTTCAAAAATAATTACCAGAAAAATATATAAACATTAATAAAAATGCACCAAAAAAAAACATTTAATGAAAAGTGAAAAATAAGAGTTTTACAGAAATTATTATTTTATTTTTAAAATATTAGCTTTTATGTTTAGTTAACGAAAAATAAACTTTCATAACATAATTCTATATTATGGTTTATATATTGCAGAGTGTTATTGATCGCATACTAAACTTTTTCAAACTTGATATATTGATGTATTCATTCGACTCTTTTGAGTAAGTCGTGTATTCATTAATTTTTTTGGTAGGCATTCTAGCATCTCTCACATCAGAAGAAAGCAATATAAAAAAATGAAGAAGAATAAAAATAATAAGACAGAAAATAAAGAAAAATACATTACTCATTCATTAAAATTATTTTATTTCAGTTTTTTTTTATACTAATGACATTCTCCTAAGAACTTTTTCCATTATCATCCTTGTAATGTAGTATCATTTGTTCTTACATGCTTGCAAGCAAGAATCCACTGCATAAGATGCAGAAAGGCCACCATCTGAAACATAAAGTCAATTATTAAAATTGTGTAAGAGATTAGTTAACTCAATTATCAATAATAAGAAATAAAAAAAACATACATAAGGTCAAAGAAAGTAGAGTTATATACCAGTGTTGATGTCAACGGAGTTGGTCAAGTCACAAGCTTTAATACAATCATAGGCAACACCACTAGACATTTTATGACAAAGTGAAGAACATGTGGTAAAACAATTATAACTTATATGTGTAGCACATTCTATACCACATTTGACCAAACACTTGACCCTATCAAAAAAATTGTTTGGCTCGATAGATGAAGTTGGAGGATTGACATCGGCTTGCACAAAGATTAACATAATTATCATCAAAATCATAACTGCAGTAATACGAATGTTGTTCATTGTCATGACACTTCCCTATGTCTTTACAATGTACCAATGGTTTGTATGTTTGTTATATTTTGGTTGTGATGTTTCAATTAAAAGACAAAATGTCAATTTATAGGCATAGAGCAATGCATGACAAATAATTTTAATTCCTAATTAACAATATTAATTTCATAAGGTTAGAACGATTTTGTGCTAGCAAAACTGATTTGATTTGTATTAATAATAAATTATCTACATTAATTAAATATAAATAACATCAATTTAATTATATGTGTATTGCGAATCAAAACAAGTTTTAACAAAATAAATTAAGACAATAAATAAAAAAAATAAAATCAATTTTATATATAGAAAAAATCAAATATATAATGCATGCGTTTTTTTTCTTTAATCAAAGATATCTTCCGATTCAATTGATAGTTAGAGACTAACTCGTATAGCTTACTAAAGAAAATACTGCATTTTAACCATTTTTAAATTTATAATCTATTAAGATAAGAATGAATTGCATTAATTTAATAATGTTAATTTTGGAATATTGATCAGAAACAAGATTCTCACTAAAAAAAAAAATCAAAGTACATATATTATTATTATTATACTAAAAGTAGGAAAATACTTAATAATATTCGACCTATTAAAATAAAGTTACCAAATTCTGATTTTTTTTAACGTACTTATATTCTTCTCAAAATTTCAAACTATATAATATATACTAAAAAAAGAAAAAAATAATTGAATTTATCTTGAAAAAATGTTGTCCAGAAACAGATAAAAAAGTAATGCTAATTATTTTATGAAACACTATTTTAATTATACATGATTTTGTTTTTACTTTATTTACCTGACATAATCGAAATTTGAAACAAAAACATATGATTATAAATAAATATATGAAAATTAATTTTTAAATACTTTTATTAATAATAAAATATATACATGCATTAAATTAATTAGTAAAAAATAATAATTTAAATATCTATTGTGCTTCATAACACGTTTAAGCATAATAAATTAAGGGAAGAAACAAAGTAAAAATATCTATATAAATTTTGAAAAAATTACAAATATATAATAATTAAATTAATAATTACTACCGAGTCATTGGCCCGACTAAAATTTAACCCAATTTCTTTAAGTAAAGTTTCTTAGTGAATATTAGTCATTGAAAATTTGATAAATATTTTACACTAATAAAATAGTTTAAAAAAATTAATAATTGAATCATAAGAATTTAAATTGTAATAAGCCAGTAAATATTCTTGTTGTTTATATTAGATGTGCAAAAATAATAAATAATAAACTAAACAAATAAAGTAAACATATTCTCATATTTCTTTTAAAAGTACTTAATAATTACTCTTTGAAAATTTAAACTGCATCATCTACATACTTAATTTAAAAGTAATGGAAGATATTTGTATATAATTTAATACAAAAAATATATAGTTGAAAAAAGGTTTTATAATAATAGATCGAATAAATTAGTTATTTATCAATTGACAATGAAATCATAAAATTGTACAATTATAAAACTTTGGTAAATAACTTTGTAAGTAAAAACGCTGAAAAATTATGATTATCATGATTTATATTATCTTATGTCTCTTTAAAAAAAAATTAAAACCTCAATTTCTAGACACCTTCCCATTGTTACAATCATAGAAAAGTATGTCGGTGAATTCTCTAAAAGATCACTTTTACAAGTGGTCCATCGTGCATCATGAACAATTATCACTAGATGCATCTAAGGTTACTGTTTACCAATGCACCTTATCTCACTGGATCCAAATTTTGAATTTTTTATTGAATTTTTTTTTAAATTACCCAAAAAAAAACACGTGTTACGGAGAACTGACGCAGCTGCTGTCACTTTCGGAACGGACCGTTCTAAAATCAGAACGGCCCGTTCTAGATGAAAAAATAACACATGAATAATGCACCAGAACAGGCCGTTCTAGAAGAAAAAAACACGTGATGACTGGACCAGAACGGGCCGTTCCGAAATCAGAACAGCCCGTTCCAGATTCAAAAATAACATATGAATAGTAAACCCAGAACGGGCCGTTCTGAATTCGGAACGGCCCATTCTAACTACATATTTGACATAAGCACTTTTTTTAAGCAAAATAATATTGTTTTTTCATTCTACTAAATTATATTTAAAATTTAAGTATAGTTTTTCAATTGATAATATTTTTCTATTAGAATTAGAGGTTTACATTAATTATATGCGTAAATTTCTAATTATAATTAGAAAATAACACCAAACAAAATTTTCTATTATAAATATAATTTTCTCTCATTTAAATTATTGCAAAAATTTGTTAGTTTTACTTTTATATCTCGACATTTTCCTCTTAAAAAAATGATGTTACCAAATATTTTTAAATTTGATTTACATTAGTTTAATTGCTTTTAAGGTGCATAGACTTTCGTGGTTTTGTTGTCAATGCTACAAACATTAGGCGTCGATTAAATGTGACCTAGTGTGAGGAGAGATACTCATTTTCTGTTTGGATTTGCATTGGGTGCTAATGTATGTGGCGTTAAATATAAGTTAGACAAAGGCCCTCAGCCTAATTAGCAGACACGAGAGAATATGAGACTCTTTGCCTCAATGACATTAGGTGTGGCTAGTTTAGTGCTAAGTGTGAGTGAGATATGAAGCCCCTTCCTCAATGACATCAAGCATCCTATGAATGAAGCCCAAAACTAGGCCTAATAAGCTTAAAACCCAAAAAGTCTCATATTAAGGCCCACAATACAAGACCAAACAATATAAACTCCTATACTACCAAATATATGAGAAAGGTGGTCATCCATGTAAAGCCCAAGTAAAGAGAACCCTAGGCCCACCAAACCCATTGGGCTCACTAAGCTCAGAAGCAAACAAAAGCCCAAAGGCCCATGAAG